GCCTGGTCTATACAGCGAGCTCCAGGCCAGCCAATTTATTTATTGTGTCAAATAAATAAATAAGTTCTGTATATCCCTTACACATGATAGTAATGGGAAGAAATTGGGTGTTCCGCAGCACCCAGTTCTCAACAAATACTTGAGGAACTACAGATACAAAGAAAACATTTTATGCACTCTTCTGATCATTAACAGGAGAAGTTTATTATGTTATAAGTGTGTTTTATGGGACGTGGGATGGTGTTAATAACATGGGAAAATTGGTGTAGCTGTGTTTTAAATTATCTCATAATAATTCCTAACTTTTGGGAATGGTTTTCTCAAAGGTTTTAAACTTCATATGCATCCAGGTGAACTTTAACTTCTCTAAAACATAAGAGACAGAACTGCTAAGTGTATTTATTTTATGAATAAAGACAAAGTGATTTCCTTACCAACTTTCTGGGCCCTGAGAATGGCTGGTGTGCTTTTTCCCTTTTTCTCCTGTGAGCTGCCCTATGTCTTTAAACATGGCTGATAAGTAGACAGTGAGAAGGCACTTCTGACCCGGACACTCAGCTCATAAAATAATCCTTGTAAATGAACTTAGTCACTGCTCTTTTTCAAAGAAATGACAGTTTGGTACTGGGCAAGATTTGTGACTCACATACACATTTAGGTTCATGACAGAAACACTTAGCAGGAACAGTCTCCACCTTAATATGAGAACACAGCATTTTCTAGATCTGTGCCAGTCCTTGTGACTTGTCTTATAAAGTCTTGTAAAGCTTCCTTCCTTAGATTTATGTTAAAGTTATTAAAGATATTTATTTAAATTAATTTCTTATACCATTACTAGAAGCTTCCAGGAGAAAAAAATCTTTGAGCATGTGCTTTGTTTTACGGTTTTATTAGCAAACAAATTTGTATATTTTTTTATCTGGATATATATATATATATATATATATATATATATATATATATATATTTTCATCTAAAATTTTATACTTAACATAAGACCATAGCACTTTATAAAATGCAGTGTGTTTTGAAAATGTCATTCTTGGGCTGGGGAGGTGGCTCAATGGTTAAGAGCACCAACTGCTCTTCCAGAGGACCCATGTTCAATTCCTAGCACCCACATGGCAACTCACAACTGTCTGTAATTCCAGTTCCAGGGGACCCAACACCCATGGCAAACACCAATGCACATAAAATAAAAATAAATAAAAAGTGGCATTTTTAACAATGGAGATACATGTCTGTAATGCCACAATTTGGGAGGCAGAGGCAGAAGGATCAGGAATTCAAGGCTAGCCCCAAGCTACACAATTTATTCAAAGGCAAGCCTGGTCTACCTGAAATCTTGTCTCAAAATAAACAACGGTACAAACAAATAAATGAATAGAAATAGCACTTTTGAAACATCGGAAGGTAGAGAGATGGTTGAGTCCATTTCCTCCAGTCAAAGAAACTTATCAAAGTGTAGTGACTCCTTTTCCAGCCCATAGCATCCTACAGTTTTTACACACCTCTCTCTTTGTAAATGAAAAATGGTTTTGAGACAGGCTCTTGCTGTGTAACCCAGACTGGCTGCAGACTTGGGACCTTTTGCCTGAGTCTGGAGTGCTCCAGTTCCAGGTGTCACCAGCATTCCCTCCACAAAACAAATTCTGCTTCCTGTCAGCTCCGTGGACTTGTATTATGCTTGCTATATATAAGTAAGGAACTTCATATTTTCTACTTCTTACATCTAAATTATTGGATTCAAATTTATAAAATGATAGGGAAAAAAGCCTAAAATATAAGGATTTGGTTTTGTTATTTTTTTCAAGAAGCAAAGTCCTTTTTCTTTTTTCCTTCAAATCTAAAACTTCAGGAAAATTTCAGCATGGTTCGTAGAGAGACTTAGTAGCATGGTTCTCATTAACACAATAAGAGATTATTGTGTAAATATTGGCAGGCCTGGAGAACCCCAAACAGTTTCTGTGATATAAGAAACTAGCATTTAACCATTAGTGCTGCCATCCTAATTTCATTAGCGTAGCTTCTTTACACACTTTCTCCAGTGACGCAAATGCAGACCCGTGGCTGCCTCTTCTCCTCATTACTTGTGTTGGACAGGCTGCCCTTATCACTTGCCAAAGAAAACCCCACAGTTCCGTAGACTTCATTTCCAGGTCTCCTGTGTCCTCCTTAGACCACCAGTAGCTTTGTCTCTTCATGATTAGAAGTTGGACACTTCTTTTTGATGGTTCACAAACCAGACTCTTGTTACTTGGCGTCCTAACAACAATGTTGCAAACAGCAGATTGCCGAGCAGCATCACTACACACACAACAGCAGGTCCACTCGGAGGGCTTCAGGTTTTGTTGTTCTGTTTGTTTGTTTTTGTTTTTCTTTTTTTAATCAAGCTTTATGAGATTTACATCAAGGTGTGATTAGAAGTGTCTGCAGGGCAGACGGTTGAAAAAATAGGTGTATTTTCCTTTATCTGTATCCATACACAAAAGAGACGAAAGACTCACTGAAGTTTGGGTATTTCAGTGTTCTGTAACTGGTTCCAGAAAAGTCACGTTAAAATACAGAGCTTTGGGCTCAGATGTCTATTATTCTTTCACTCTAACCAGTTCCATGAATCTGTTAAAATGAGGAGTTTATCTGATTCTACCAACATGCCTGGCTCTCGCTTGTGAATTTCCACCCATCTCTCTCCCCATGTCCCATATATACACTTTTTGTGCTATATTTTAGGAGACGCTGGTGGGTTTTGCTTTGTGTTTTGTTTTGTTTTGTTTAACCTCATTTTTCTTCCCTTCTGTTCTCTGGGGTTTGTAATTTATTTTTGTAACCTTTCCAGTGATGTCCCGTGGCTTATGCTAACATATGATAAATAAATCACACGGTTGTGCTTGCAGAAAGACCTTCTGACATCAGATCATACTTAAGAGAAGCTGAGCACTTGTTTGGATCTTTCTGTTGTTGCTCTTAGGAACTATGGCGTGAACTCTGCTCTTTTCCATCTTGTCCTTCGAACGTCAGTGCTTTTGGAAAATGAAATGTTCTAAACTTCTTCATTGTTATCCTGAATAAATAGATCCCATCACCACCCCCAGATCTCCTAGCTTTCACTCATGTCCTTTGTAATGTTTTAAACCTATGACACCATTAGTGCTACAAGTAGTGCCTGGGTGTAGGGCCAGCCACTGGAGCATGGGAGCCTTCCAGGGGCCATTTTCCTAAAGAAAACTGACTCTCCCTCCCACGCAGCCAACACCTGCCAAGAGCTGTTCTGTTAGCTGTGGTACTTGCTGAGCCCCCCCCCCACTCCCTCTGACCCCCTGTCTGTGCTTCCCTTTGTACTGGTTTTGTGAAGGCAGCCAAGGAAACTGAGAGCTCATCCATGAAGTAGTTATCATGGTGGGTGTGATATGAAGGTCCCACTAGGAGCTGAGCTCCACAGGCACTTGTGCTCTGTGCATTGACCAGTTGTGGTTCTACAAACTACCACCCACTGCTTAAAGAAGCTTCTCTGAGAAGGGTGGACACCTACACTAATCCCTCTTATAAAGTTAAGTAGTAAGTTTGGGTTTTAAATCTATTTTACTCGAGTCTTAGTTTTAGAAAATATATTTCAAAAGTAGGACTTGTCTTAACCTCTTGGTTACTCTACTCCAGGTGCTGGGAACCAAGCTCTGGGCCTCTAGAAGAGCTGCAAGCACTCTTTACCATTGAATCGTCTTCAACCCAAACTATTCTGTTTTTAATGAAACTCCAACAGTAGTTCTTAACTTCAAACAATCTGAACATGCCACAACCCAAATGCACTATGTTGACACTTACATGTTGAGGAACAACTATGAGAAATTATGACTAAAGTTTGTTTTCCATAATTAAACCATTGTTTCTATAAAAGCATAAAAAAAAGTTACTGCTACTCATAACATACAGTAGTAGTGAATCCAAGCAGAGGTGTTTCAGGTAGCATTACTAATACCATATGGCTTGATAGTATACACAGGGCTGTATGTTGAGAACCAAGGCTTCAGTAGAGCTACATGTACTGACAGAACCCCTCAGATTTCATCATGCATTTTACTTTGAATTCATTTTGGAGTGTGCTACTTTAGAACCTCTTTACTGCTACCAAAGGTTTTGAGACATCCACATTCAGTGAGGTGAGTTTGTTTACTCATTAAATGAGTTCTTTTCTCAAATACATTTGTATTCACTTCTAATGTACCCTTTTCTTACTACTATGATAATTCTTAACCTGAATGCAGATGTTCATATATTCTCAGTGTTTTTCAGTTTACCACCTCTATTTTCCTAGCTTCATGTTTGTAGTGGTGTGGAGAAAATGTATTATATATTGCTTGAATCCCACATTCCTAAGGTGTCTGAATGAAATCAGGATGTTTGCTTATTACATGGACATTTACATTGGTATATACTATGTTTTGAAAAGTTCTCAAACCTTTGTTTTTATTTGAAAGGCATAATTAACTATTCATTCTATCAGGTTAGCCATCTGAGCTGTCCATGATTTCTTTCCTTGGCTGAGAATGTAAACTCCTCATTCTGCACAGTGGAAGTGGGGATCAGCTAGTTCCTGTGTCTTGGTTTAGGTTTATGTGGCTTAGATGGTGCTGATTCCATCAGGTCAGTATGAGCTGTGCCCTGAGGTCATTCAGATGCTTTGCACATACAATAGTAGAAGCAAAGAGAGACCTTCTTTAGATAATGAGGTACCACACCAGGTGGTGGTGGCACACGCCTTTAATCCCAGAACTCAGGAGGCAGAGGCAGGCGGATCTCTGTGAGTTCGAGACCAGCCTGGTCTACAAGAGCTAGTTCCAGGACAGCCTCCAAAGCCACAGAGAAACCCTGTCTCAAAAAAACCAAAAAAAAAAAAAAAAAAAAGATAATGAGGTACCTCAGTGTATTTAGGTTGTTCAAGGAAATAATGAAGGAAGAAGGCTTTCTTATAACTGAGTTATTATCTCTTGACTTTTGTTTAGGGTGTTCCAGTAATGGCAATCAGAAACAAAATGATATCAGAAGGGCTGGATCCGGACCTCCTTGAGTAAGTAATATTTCTAATAAAATCATATAGATAAGGTACTAAATCTGTCAATTGTAACAAAAAATACTTCAGGTTCTCTCTACTGTTTTCTATACTGTGTTTTATAGCTGAGAATATCATTATCATAAATTGTGCTGCTGCTATGTTAAAAAAAAAAAAAAGGAAAGGGGAAAGAAAATATCCTAGGCTACTATAACCAGCCCTTCAAGAGATGAAATTCATTGATGAAACTGGTCAGAATTTGGTAGAGAGGCATCTGGGGTTTTTGTTGGTTTTTTTCCCATGCTAACTTCTCCTTTGGGAGTGATGTGATAAGATATTGTACACCTCTTTTTTTGCATAAGGTCATAATACATAAGAAATGTATTTTATGGTGACCTAGATTAAGAAAGGCTGAGAAGTAACTTGGATAAACAGTATCCTAGGTGCATATTAATGGTTATTATGAAAGAGATGCCAATTTGAATGTGTATTATAAAAATTTTTAGAAATGCTAAGAAATCACAGCTCAAAACGTTGATAATAATTCATTACATCCAAGCCACCATGACCATGTGGTTCATTTCAATAAATTATATATCTTAACGGGTTCCTCACAAGCCTTCTGCTTTATAAGTCTCCAGATACTTGTAAAGAGTCTGTGTAGTTGGAACTTTTGTTCACCCCTGTGTTACCCGGGCATTCAAACTGTGCTAGCAGTATGCTTTGGAATTTTTCTTGGCTCCAGTGCTTCAAGAAAAGGTGTGCATTTTGGAAATGAAATACCATAAAAGTCATCTTCTCGTATTTTATCTTTAAAAATGTGAAATTCAAGAATGCCTTAAAAGCTGCCAACAATGGATTTTCTAACATGTATGTTCATTTGGTGTGTTTCCAAATGGCAAAAGGATTGACTATAATAGCATGGCTTGGTGAATTGAACAAAGCATATCTGGAATGTTTAATATGTGTTCTGGAAATTGTTTCTGACATTTTAAAAGTAAATGGATTGTGGCATGTATTTTAATAAGAATTGAACATTTGGATCTCATCTATTTTAGTACTTGATTTGTGTGATCATAAGTACATTTACCATCGATTGGGATTCTTTCTGCTTCTAGAAATACGTAATAGGTCATAAATAACAACAAATAGCAAAAATGACCTTTAAAATGATGATATTTCACTCTGGAGAGACAGGAAAGCCAGTGTCCTGTAAGCATCCCACAGGCTGGATAACATTCCTCGGCCACTGGGGCTTCATTCATCTCTCTCCCATACAAAGTCTGGTTCATTATTCTTTCACTCACACTATTCACACTTTTCACACTAGCAACCTGAAGATCACCTTTGCTTCTTCCCTCTTCCCTACCCCACTATGCCAGTTACTATGATTTTTCTCACTCTAAATATTGCTTAGCTTTTACCACGTGCCTGCATGCCTATTGCTGTTTGTTCTGGCTCTCATCATTTCTCACCTGAATCATTTCAATAGCACCTGATTTGTTTCTGTGTTCTCTTTCAAGCCATCTCAATAAAGCCAAGTATATTTGTTCATTACTTGACTCTTGCTTTCAACATACAGTGTCTAACTGTTGCGTGTAAATGCTTTGCCCATTGTGTCCAGAGTATTTTTCTTGCTCTTGCTGGTTCTGTACATGTTCATTTTGTGCGGCCATTGCAAATGACCTGTATTTCTCTGGATAGATCATCTTTCTATTCCCTTTTGGCATATTTATATGCTGTTTTAACACTCTTAGGACTCCTTCCCCCAATCTTACTGGCCTAGCTAACTCCTTATTCTATAAGGGTATTAGGTATTGTCACCCTAAGAGATCTGTAAGTATCGAGAGGAGAAACACACACACACACACACACACACACACACACAGGGTGTGCTCTTATATCACCCTTAGCAAATATGTGTATGTCATTGTCCATAAATGTTGAGAAACATTCAGTTTGTGAGGTGGATGCCAAGTTGTAGGGTAAGATTCCAGTAACAGCATGGCCTTACAGAAAAGCTGCTCCTCAACTACAGCCTACAGGCTGACTTCTGACCTATTACCTCATAGGTTTATGCCACTAGCCACTGGGGGCACTGGCTGGAGAAGACTGATGCACTTAAGCAATCACCACTCCAACTATTTCCATCTCCATTTAGTGTAACAGCCACTTTGTTCACAGGAGAATTCTTGTGCTGTGGAATTGGGGTTACACAAGTTAGGGACCTTCACTTGGGGAGAGAAGTTTGACGTGATGTTCACGTGAAGGAAATGTACCATCCAAGGGGAACATAGTTTTATTTAGAATCTTAGGTACAAAAGAAACCTCATCCAAGAACTTTGAGTAAAGAGTGTCCTGATTCTCTTTTCTTTAAAAGTATAAACATACACTTTCTGGTTTTATTAGCTCCAGGTAGTAAGACAAACTCATATAACTGTTGGAAGAGCTAGTCTAGATCTGTCTGGTCCAGACAGAGAATAGAACTGAAGTCAAGGAAGAAATAAACACCGGTCACTAAGCATGTTGTTGGGCTGGCTGTTGTAATCAAAAGGTGGAAACCAAAAACACACTGTTTTAAAGTAAAAGTTTACGTGATAAAGCCTGGCAGTTTGACTGGAAAATTATGCCTATCCTTGAATTTGAGATGTCTATAAAACTGACAAAAATGTTTGATAATTATTGAGTAAGTATTTGTTTGAAACTTCTAATTGTTTTAATTATTTTTGTATCCTCAGCTTCTCAAAAGTAGTTTTGGTGCCACTGGCATAAAAAGACATTGGAATGTCACTGTTGTGCTTACTTAATTTAAGGGGAAAGTTGAAACTTTTAATTAATCTTTATTCAGAGATCAATCTTCTTTAATGTTGTATCCAGAAGTACAGAATGAGTAGATCATGCTTTTAAAATTCCCTCAATCGATGCCTAGATTTCCTTACCAGCAAACAAAAGTTTCACCCCGCCATGTTTCAGAAGTAATACTAGTATTACCTAGTAATGACTACGTTTGTGCCTCTGGGATGACAGATAGGCCTTTGGTCCAGGGCATCTCAGGAGCAAGTTCATGGTGATTAAGAGAGGCCCAGGCAACATAACACTAGACACTGAAAGTCTGCCCTGCCACTTTCTATCTCTGGAACCATGGATATTGATCTGTAATGGAAAGTAGAATGGTTCAGATCCTCAGTAATGATATAGGTGCTCAGAAGAGCTCTGGACAAGCGGTGAGTGTTTAGTGACGGTGATTGTGAATGTTTTAAACCATGGATTTACCAAGCTGTGGGTTCACATCTTGGTTATAATCCTGAGTTGCCTGTGTACCATTAGGACATATTTCATACACAGAATATGTATGACCTTTTAAAATTATACCCTGTTTTTTCAAACTGGAACTCTCTATTTCCAATTATATAGCAAAGAAGAGACTTCATTTTTACCCTGTGTTGGGGATTGGATCTGGAGCTGAGCACACTAGTTGGGTGCTGTTCACCTGGGCTCCATGGTATCTGTCCTGACTGGTTTTATGTCAACTTGACATAAGCCGGAGTTATCAGAGAGGAGAGAGCCTCAATTGAGAAAATGCCTCCATAAGACCTGGTGATAGGGAATTTTCTTAATTAGTGATCAATGGAGAGGGCGCCCATTGTGGGTAATGCCATCCCTGAGCTGATGATCCTCTTTCTAAGAAAGCATGCTGAGCAAGCCATGGGGAGAAAGCCAGTAAGCAGCATTCCCCTGCATCAGCTCTTGCCTCCAGGTTCCTGCACTGCTTGAGTTCCTGTCCTGACTTTCTTTGATAATAAGCAGTGATATGGAAGTATAAGCCAAATAAACTTTCTTCTCCAACTTGCTTTTGGGTCATGGTGTTTCATCCACAGCAGGAGAAACTGACTAAGACACCACTTAAGAGCAGACTTTAGCTGGCCATCCTCCTAGTCTGGGGGATGGGGTGAGGTACAGTGTGGTCCCTATGGATTTTGATCCAAAAACCATGTAATTGAGTTCAAGTTGCTCTGTTGGCCCTGAACAGAGCCATGTCAGCTAACACTGGTCATATCTGCCATCCTCACTAGTAGAGTAGATAAGAGTGACCACTTTACCCTGCTCATCAGTAAGTCACCGTGAGGCCAGGAATGTCTTCCTGTTCTCCAAGGAAATCCCATATTAATCAGTATTTTTGTTGGCTCTCTGCTGCCCAACCACATGACAGAGCAAAGATTTCATTTAAACTGATTAAAAATAGATCTCCATTCCAAATTATAGGTGGGATTTATTTGGTCTTGTTTTTCACTCATTCAATATTTTTTAATTACAGTTCTCAACTGCTTACTAGCAGCTAACAGCTAGAATGTATGGGACATTTGTGTTGGGACATGTACCTAAAATGTATGGGACATTTATGTTGGGACATGTACCTAGCACTCAGAAATCATAAACACACACTCCACTAACGAGATACACTGTCATCCCAACTTTGTCTAATTTTTTACTTTTATTATTTTGAAAATTAAGCATATAAGTTATATTTTTCTTTTAATCATCTCTACTCCTCTTTCTTCTCTTCAGTTCCTTCTGTAGCCACCAGCTCCCTCCAATTTATGACCTCTTCTATAATTAATATATATATATATATATATATATGTGTGTGTGTGTGTGTGTGTATTATGTATATATACACACAATTCATATGTATACACACACATATATATATATACACTAACTGTAGTGCATGTGTATATGTATATGCACATGTGTATATATATTCTAACTATATATATGTATATATACACACACATATATCTATCCTACTAGATCCATTTAGTGTTGTTCATATGTGTATGTTTTAGACTGACCATTTGGGATTGGATAACCCAATTTTCCTTTCACAGCTGCTATTAATTACCTGTAGCTGTTCATCTAGGGGTGGAGTCTTGAGGTTTGTATTTCACCAGTGCTGTCTCTACTAGAGTTTGTTCTTCCCTCAAGAGTTCCTGTTGCTATAATGTAGAGCTCTGACA